GTCAGCGGCGTCGGAGATGGTCGGCCGCACGTTCTTTTTCTTTTTCGCCCCCTCTCCCTTTTCTTTCAGCCCCGCCCCCCGTCGCAGCCTCTTCCGATCCCTCTCGCCCTCTCTCCCAGCCCCCCAGTGACCACCACCACTATCACCACCATGCCAACCCACCCCAACCCGATCGTCGGCATCTGACCACCCTTCCTTCTGCTAATGGCCGTGTGTGTGGCTCGACCGAGCATGTGTTTGACCTGGACCCAACCTCCCCCCCTCACCAGCCCCGCAGCGCCCGTCTCCCGCCCACCCCTCTGGACCCAAGCTGTGTCATTGTCCCCGCCGCCGAAAGGCACGTCACACGACGAGTCGGCTACACGCACAGAGGGCGCAGACAAGACAGCTGTGGAGACCCAGATGGTGGTCGAGCACTATGAGGAGGACCAGGAGGCCCGACAGGCGCGCGAGGCTGCCACTGCGGCTCGACCACGCCGGGCAAGCAGCCGCCGACCCGCTACGGCATTTCGCGCGCCATTGACCAGGCCAATGTGGAGATCGCCATTCGCAAGGACGGCCTGATCCGGCCCAATATGGCTGTCGACGAGAGGAGGGCAGAGGCGATGGGGACGAGCCAGGCGACGACATGCTGCCGGCCCAGCTGCAACTTCACGGCATCCTTTCAGTCCACCGACCCCCCCAGCCCATCGCACACTGCACCGCCCGTCCGCGGTAGCACCATGCACACCAGCACCCAGCAGTCCACTAAGACGACAGGCCGCATCGGCAGCGGCATGACCATCATGGAAGGCACGCTGGTCGGCGTGCGCTCGAGCAAGGGCGGCGTGGACGACGCCTTCAGTCACGTGTCCAACAGCATCATGGCCTCAGCAGAGGAGCACAGCCCTCCCCGAAGGCAGCAGCACAAGCCCACAGCCACCTGCTACACCATCGGACCCCAGATGGCCGGCTGCCACGGTCTGCTGCCCACTCGTATTCGCCACCCGTTTCCCCAGCAGCAGGTCCACCTGCCCTATGTGCCCGGGCAGCAGCAGATGCAGGAGGGCTATGGGATGCAGGAGGGGTATCACGTCGGGGCTGCTGATGCTGCAGCGGTCCGATGACGCCAAGAGGGAGCTTGAAGGCACGGTGCTATCCCCAGCCAGCCAGCGGCATCCCCCCTCCACCGAGGGCTGATGTCGCCAGGCCCCAGTTCACCCTCAGCCGCCTCGGTCGCATCCATGGGGTCTGGCAGCGTGTCAGGGCGTCTTGGGCGGAAGGGAGGGCCTTCAGAGTGTGTGCTGACGTGTCTCGAGTGGGCCATCCGGCACCCGCCGATCTACGACCTCACGTCGCTGCGGCAGCTGCACCGCCTACTCACCTTCAACACCCTCCACCGCAAGCTCTATGGCCGCACCTCACTCTGGCCCCACTGCCCCTGCAGCTGTACCCCAGGCGCCCGGGTTACCCATCCTTCCCACACCCATTCGCTCGCCGGCCACCAGAGGAGGGGGAGGAGGAAGGCGACGTCGACGTCGACACACTGGACCGAGTCGACGTGAGGCGTGATCTGGGGGACAGGGCTTTGCCCATCGCGGCTTCACGGTCGCTGCCGCGGACGATCATCTACCTGTATCCGTCAGTGCACCCGAGCAAGCTGCCCAGATTCCCGCCCCGACTCCGGTCGCTGCTAAGCCGGGAGATGGTTGAGCAGGTGGAGGGTGAGGGCGAGGAGATGGCGCCGTCACAGGCTGGCGAGGAGGAAACCAAGACACCATCAGCGGCGGAATCGACACAAGGTGCGGCTGGACACACCACTAATGCGATCAATCAACATGTGACACGTGGTTCTGTTTTGTTCATTCAGCTGCTGTTGCGGATTCGTCATCACAGCCGTCTGAGGCACTCGCCAAGACACCAATCGGCGCCCGGACGCCCATCCTCGAGAAGAGCCTCACCCCATCAGCATCCTCAGACAACCTCACCATCCAGGCGACGACAGCCACGTCAGGCTCGCCCACCAGACGGACAAGACCTCTCGGCGTCGTGCCGATCGAGAGGCCCACCACACCTTCACCATCCGCCAAGCCCATGACGGCCGACGATGAAGGCGAGAGCGGAAATACCCTGGCAGTGGGGTGTATGGGCATGGTGGCGGAGGGGGGATGGAGCAGCCGGTGCCATATGCGGGGCCGCCAATGGGACTGGAGCACACCAGCATTCATCGAGCCTTTCGCACAACATCTGAGGGTAAGCAGGGCTTGGGAGGGAGGGAGGGAGGGTGGCCATTCGTCCATCAGCCAGTCAATGGCCCTCCTCCCCCCGTCTCCCTCTCTCTTTCTCTCTTTCTCTGTGTGTGTGTGTCGGTCAGATGTGAGAACCAACATCCACGACCTGTTGTTGGCCGTCAAGAAGGGTCCCAGCACCAGCAAGCCGCTGAATGCCAACGCTCCGCCCTTCCCCGACCCCTCACTCCCCACCTACCGGCCCATCATTACCGCACTCATGAACCAAGGTAACAACGATCTCGGCGTAGAGGCCTTGCTGCAGGAGGCCAGCAGCAGCCAGTGGTGTCAGAGCGGTGCGTGGTGGGGCGCCCCGTGCAGCCTCAAGTGTAGTGTCAAGGCAGATGGCGGTGTCGCGCCCTGCAAACGGGACATCATGTTGGCCGAGGTCAGTCAGTGAGTTAGCGAGTGGGAGAGCACAGAGACACCGAAGGATGGAATGAGGCACCTTTGGGCACCTGGTCGGTCTCTGTGTGTGTCATCACATCAGGTGTTCGGCCCTTCCCTGTTCTTCACTCCCATGCCCGAGGAGGGCCGCCAGCACACCACAACCACCACGTCGGTGATCAGCAGCAGCACCCACACCCACACCACCACCACCAACAGCCGCGCCGGCTCACGTGCCCCTCCCTGCCCGCCACCCTTCGCCCCATCTGTCGGCACCCTGGTGGCCAGCTGCGGGCTGCACCCGGCATGGGTGGACGTGCTCATGGCCCAGTGCCGTCGCTTGCCGCCATGATGGTGGAGCAGCTGACAACCAACACGGGCATGGACGCTCAGCCCGTTCGTCTGTGTCACTGGACGAGCAGGGCGAGATGGAGCCGTCGGGTGAGCGCCGTTTGTGGCGCGCCGGCCGGTCACCTGGCCCGATGGTGGTGTTCATGGAGGCAGAGGAGGGCGACCAGTTGTCACTCGGCAACCGACGGGCGAGGCCATCCCGGCAGACCCGTTGGTCACAGCAGCCCACACACGAAGGCCAGCTCTACTACGAGCGAGAGACTCGGCAGCCGCCCTTCCTCCCCTCCTCAGGCGCACCATTCGGCCACCGACCGGCGGCATCAGTGCAGACCTACCGCGCCCCTCCCTCTTCCCACCCCGCTCCCTGTGATGACAAGGCGGCTGTCGGCCACGATGTGAGGGAGGCGGTGTCCGACAAGCCCGTCCTGCGGTGCGTCTGCTTCGACTGGTAAGTGGGTGACCCGGGCAGGTGTGCAGCGGTGTATGCACGTGCCACTGTAATGCAATCGAGACACGGTCCCCATTGCACTGTCTTCATTCTTTTCCTCAGGTTGAGCCCTTCACGTGTCTCGCAACTTCCTTGATGCCCTCCGGCGCCGTGGTGTCCGTCTGGCGGCCGCCACAGGCAAGTACCGCCGCTTCCTCAACGTGCAGCTCGACTCCACCGGCTTCCGGCCCCTCTTCGCGGCCTCCGGTGGAAACCGGCGAACACTCGAGGAGTTCATATGTCATCTTCGGCGCTTCGGGAGATACGCACGTATGACCACACGCAAAGGATGTGCTCATCTCGCGTGTGCACATACTTGTGTGTCTCTGTCTGTGTGTGTATCTGTTTGTGTGTGTCTTTGTCTGTGTGTATAGGTGGAGGCGATTGGC